CATTTTATTTTTTGTAAGTAAGCTCTATGCCCACCTTGGGGCTTGAACTCATGATCTCAAGATCAAGAGTCACATGCTCACCAGCTAAGCCAGCCAGGTGCCCCTTCATCTGCATCATTTTAGATCGTTATACATTTCAGTATACATGGGATTAGGTGTGCCTACCTTAACAAGCTTGGAAGACATGGAGATCAAGTTGGGTATGAATGTAATATTTTTTTTTTTTTACTTCCCCACTAATTCAGACTTCTTAATAAGATCTGGATTTGGGAAGGAGAAATGGACTGTAATGATAATAGATGCTATCTTTTTTGTTTGCTTCTGTTCGTGTTATATGCTGGGTATTTATGATATCATTTAGTCCTTACGGTTGAACTATGAGCTAGCTATTATTTTTATCCCCTTTGACAGATGATGAAATGAGGGCTTAAGGAGGTCAAACAACTGGCCCAGAATGACACAGTTAGTAAACAGGCAGTCAATTCCCAGCCTCCTAAAGTGCCAAGAAGAGTTCTCTGCCTTCCATCCACTGCTCCCCTGAGCAGGCCCATGGTGAGCCATTACCTGGATCTGCCCTGACCTACTGGTCAGACCGACCCTCCTGTTCAGTGAAGTGAAAAGCAATGAAAATACTCAACTTGAGCTGAGAGCCAAATATTTTATCACCTAGGACTCTATTTATTTAAAACTCACTCGCTTGTAAAGCAACTTGGTTGAATGGGTAAATAAGCAAAGAGAAGGGCCAGAAACTTCCTCAGCCCTTCGAGTTAATGATCAGCTAGTCTGTGAAGCCTGGCGTGGGCTGGCAGTGAGTAGCAGGGAAAAGTTGAAAGTCCTTCTCTAATCCTTCACTTGGCAAATGGATAAAAGGAAACTCGTGCTCTGTACCTTTCACAGAATGGGAACTGACTTTACTAAATGTCTTTTTCTGGTGATTTCAAGGGGCAATGCCAAAGATGGAAGAGAACAGGTCATAGCAATCCCAGAGGTGTTTTCTTGACCCTGGAGGACCCATTAACAAGCAGCATATAATAATCTTGTCACCTAAAATTACTATTTCCGTGAGCAATTAAAAGGGACTAATTACCCAAAACAATTTGTCAAAATTAAGGCTGACAGCTTTGCTACCATAATCCTCAGATTGGGCAGGGAGAGTGGCTCCTATATAGAGAGATGTGGTGACCTAGCTGTCATCAAGGAGGTTGTCAGCTAACTGACCTGAGGCTGCAGCATGATGGAACACACCAACGTGAACATGGAGCTCGATACACCCTCTGCTGCACCAGGAATTTGCAGCGATTCTCCATTCTTTGGGATCCTTTCTAATCCCTTTGAGCATCTGATGAAAGTTGTAACTGGAAACTCTTTTCACAAAAATACACATATACACATACACACAAAATATCCATGTATGATTTCAGGGAGTTCAGGGCCCCTGAAATCCACCATGAATCCTTAGGAATCTGCAGACCCCAGTGGACCCCGACTTTAGCCCTACCTCTCTGATTCAGAGTGGACTTCCCAGAAGAGTTTTGCATAAACCATAGGCAGAGACAGCGAGGTGAGGCACAGATTGCCCTGTGCACTGCAAAAGCCAGGCACGACTGGGCCTTGGAAAATAGCAAAGCAGCAAAGATCAGCTTTGGAGTTTCCAGGCTGGCCCTTATGACTGCTCTTCTTTCACTTACCTCAGCCTTTTTCATGGCCCCCTTCACTCCTCAAGCTTTGAGTTCATTAAGCAGACCCCATCTTTACTTCGTGTATGCCTGGAATACAAAGCATAGGAGGCTCAACAACCCAGAGCCTATGCGTTTCCTCTGTCTTCCCTGAAACATCAATTTCAGGCTATTGGCTGCTAATCAAAACCAAGTGGGGAAAATTTATATTCAAAGAGGCGGATCAAAGCTAAGGAACATAGGAATAATTTTCTTCTAGATTGGTATTTCTTCAAATGTGCCCCCCTGGCCATCTGGATCAGAACCAGAGCTTATTTTTTGTTTTTTGTATTTTTAAAGATTTTATTAATTTGCTTTTTTAGAGAGAGAGATTGAGTGTGAGCAGGAGGAGGGGCAGAGGGAGAGGGAGAGGCGGAGGCAGAAAATCTCAAGCAGACTCCATGCTGAGCGCAGAGCCCAACACAGGGGCCAATCTCATGACCCTGAGATCATGACCTGAGCTGAAACCAAGAGTAAGAGGTTTAACCAACTGAGCCACCCAGGTGCCCCCAGTGCTTGTTAATAATACAGATTCTTAGGCCTAGACAATGAAGGATGAGGGTGAGAGAGGGCAGTGAGTCTACATTAGAAAAGAAAAAAAAGAAATAATATGCACCAATCCTTCCAATGGTATCTGGTTACAATGAGAACAGATTCCCACCCAACCTACACAGATGATTTACAATTGCTATAAAAGAAAGAATACTCACTGAGAGTTTCTGGACTCTGGACGGTTACAGGTAGGGAGAAAAGATAAATATTTTAATTTGTTTACAAAACAACATTTCATAAAAGTTCTGTAAGTTATAGATCTCTCTAGAGACAAAGTTTCCTTCAATCTGGAGGAGCAAACATGAGGGGATCAGCAATGTTTTAAATAAGAATCATTAAAAATGGTCATCATTGTCCTTAAAAAAATAAATAAAATAAAATATAGATTTATATCATTAAAAAAGAAAACCTTACCAGTAAATTATTTTCACATTGATATTTGAGCACATTTGCTTTTAAGGCTTTAAACTTTATCCTGAATCAAATCAAGTTACAACAACATATCTGAACCCTAGTGCTTTAGGTTCCCAAAGAAATGCTGATTTTAGACAGAACCAAGACTTAGAATGAATTCTATCAAGAATTGCCCCATATCATTTATAAAAGTGTTTCTTGAAGACACTATCTCTTGTAATATAGCTGACAACTTCACTCAAGGTTAACATTTGGATGAAGCTTTTATGATAAACCTTGAATATTTCTTTTATTAGATGATGAGTGCTGTATAACCCAGAGTCTTTCCATTTTCAACTTGGCCTCCAGGAAACTCAGATCTAAATCTAAGTATTTAGATTTAGTACTGTATTCCCTTGTGGCCTCTTTCATACTGAGAACTGCTCACCTACTTCCTTAAATATATGCCTCAATTCTCTTTACCTTTGCTTAAATTACATTAAACATTCATCCTTTATTGAAAGCTGCTGATGGGACGCCTGGGTGGCTCAGGGGTTGAGCATCTATCTGCCTTCGGCTCAGGCCGTGATCCCGGGATCCGGGATCCAGTCCCACATCAGGGAACCTGAGTCCCACAAGGAGCCTGCTTCTCCCTCTGCCTGTGTCTCTGCCTCTCTCTCTGTGTGTGTCTCTCATGAATAAATAAATAAAATATTTTTTTAAAAAGAAAGCTACCACTAATACCTATTCAAAAAAAAAAAGAATATAAGCAACCTGTTAATAGATAAATGTTATTCTTTTACACCTTATGGAATAGTGGAGAGAGTGGAGATCAGGAGACAGGAAATCTCGGTTCTCGTCCATCTGTCCTTCTCTGTCTAGCGGTTTCCTTAGGCAGGTTGCCTCATTTCACCCTCTGAGAAGGGAGCAAGTTGGATCTCAGAGGCGTGTCCCAAGTCTACACCCTCAGCTTATGTGCTTCCCATCATCTTGTCACTGTGAGGACCATGCTGTCATCTCCAAGAGGTCCACCTGCAGCCTTGAGTATTTGAGTGTCTGCTGGATGCTGGACCCCCAACTACAGAGGCATCAGGATGGGTAGAGGATGGCACCTGATGTGCTGCAGGTGGGAGACTCCAGGAGGGACACCCAGGAATACTCGCTGGGGTCACAGTGAGGGCAAAACAGGTCTCAAGCAATACCAACCAGGCAAATGGTTGAGTCATTGACCCTAAATGATCCCCTTATACGCGAATGTATTGGTATGGTGGGAGGGGGGCAGTTTGGATAGAGGGTAGGAGAGGAGAACTAGAATAAATTAAATAAAACTATAGAGGCTCACATTGATTAAAAGTATGTAAAAACCAACACAGAAGCAATTTTTAAAAATCTAGTTTTTGTAAAAGTAATAAATGATTTACCTGCCATTGATGCCTAATTTCCTGGATACACTGACTGATTTTCTTGGCAAAGTAGAACAGCTATCTGCTCACAGCCTTTAAAATAGGGAAATTTGCATTTTTGTTGTCGTTGCTGTTCTGAACAGACTATGAACCTTCTGTATCCATGGGGAGCTGCTGGGATGACGTAGCAGAGTGTGGAGCAAAAGGGTCTCGAATCAGAGCTGGGTTCCAATCCCAGCTCAGCTGCTTGTTAACTGGGAGAACTGGGAAAGTTATTGAACCTCTCTGAGCCACAGTTTGTCTCTTGGGAGGGTGAAGAGAACTGCAATTGGTTGCCTCATACTTTGTGTAATAATATTTTAAAACCCTGTTTTTCTCCATTTTGCAGTTAAGAAATGTGTTCCAGCTCTAGACCAGATGTAATCTTTAATCGCTGTAATATCTACTTTATCAGTGATCTCTGTGCAGTTCCCAGAGCCCACTATCCTTCATGGCTGGGACCAGCAGAATCTAAAATTGAGTTAAAATCAAGATTCTGCTCCTTTTCATTGAATTGTAATAAAATAATTTTATGAAGATCGACTATATCCCCAAAGTTACCAGCATCTGTCAAAAGAAATAACACTGGTTTCTTCCTTTACCCCCACCCCAAAAAAACCCACAAAAACCAAAAAAACCCACACTGTGAGTGCTGCAAACAGCTAAAGACAGAGAAGAGGATTTAAGCAGAACTTAATCTTAGATAAATATTAGGTTTCACAGACAGCCATGCAAGCAAGCGTGGGTCAAAAGGCAGCAACTGTCTTTTAAATGGATACAAATTGAACATACTTATCACAAGTTCACAGTGCAAAAGGATTATCATCTTTAATCAGAGTGTTAGAGCTTTAATTAAAGTACATTCTGCTTTAAGGGAGGGACAGATGTATGCAGATTACAGAACCATAAATGAATTCATTCATGCCGCATTGTACAGTGGATTTACATTATTCTGAAGGTTTAGCCTTCCAGTGGAGAACAATTCTGTGAATGCCACTATTTCCCTTTGCTGTAATCTTTGTTAAAGCAACATTGGATTTCCGCTGTTCTTTTTCAGGATAACGAGATCAGCATAACAACAGCGACGTCCGGGTGTCTGTGGCCACACTTCCAGGAGCTTGCACACCTATTGTACACCTATTGCACAAAAGGGTCCAGGGGCTGGAGATCCAGCAGAGGTAGGGCCTGAGCCTCACAGTGAAGGAAGGCCTGCCTCTAAGGCTTTACCTTTTCCCATTTGGACAGTTCGAGATGCTCTAAGGGCCTTTAGGAATTCCAAGCCATTAGTGGGGCCGGGGAATGAGAGAACCAGAGAAATTTGCTGTAGCCATTTTTCATGGTAAATGAGAGTTAATGGCCATTGCTTTCATTCATTCATTTATTGATGTGGCAAATACGTCTGGACCGCCCCTATGGCAGGTCCTAGCCTCAGTGCTGGAGGAACAGCAAGAAAACCACAAACAAGGTCTCTGTTCTTACGGTGCTTACAGTGCTAATGGAGAGAGATGCTCAGTGTGTACCTCCACTCATTAATATCTGTAAAATAATATATATGTTAATACGTAAAGAAACCAGAAATCTAATTTATAGTGTGGTCAATGTGCTGCAGGGAAATGAAGTACAGTGGATGAGTCGAGGTCATCATACAAGGAAGTCTTCCTGGTGAAGTGAGATTTGTGGTGAGAGCTGATGCTCATCACAGAGATAGGAAGCGGCCATCCACGTGGACACAAGGTTGTCCTCCTTGTCCCAGGGGGATGCAGGAAGATCGACTTCGCATCAGTCCAAATTCAGTGAGTCACTCCTTTGAGGTAGTACAATGGCTCCTAGAGACCCTTGTTTACATAAAAAGTCATGTATGGGGGGCGCCTGGGTGCCTCAGTGGATGGGCGTCTGCCTTGGGCTCCGGCCGTGTTACCCAGGTCCAGGGATCGAGTCCCGCGGGAGCCTGCTTCTCCCTCTGCCTGTGTCTCTGCCTCTCTCTGTGCGTCTTGGGGATGAATAAGTAAAATATTTAAGAAAAAAAGTTATGTATAAGTGAAGCCATTAACCATCATCACCTTCATGTGAAGCCAGAGTGGTTTCCTGGTCGTCTGGCCCCCGCCTGTGGCTCTTACCCTCACTAGCTTGTGGAGACAAAAGGGCGTTACTGCTGACCTTCTAAAGAGGGTGCGGTGCATTTGCACTCGTCCCCCACATACTGCGGGGATCTGCATGTGCTGTATTCTGAGAGATGGGAGTGGTTTTGCAATTAATCTCTTAGGAACTATAACTTCTTTCTAAAATGTCTTTTTAGAAATGTTACCCCATATATTTTGTTTGTGGTTTTATATATTGAAGCTGATTGACTATAAGGTCAAATATTGGAATTAAAATTCTACCTGTGTTTAAAAGACACATTAACATGCTGTAATTATTGACTTCTTTGGAGGTTTCTGGGGACCAGGACACTAGACTCTCCAGGTGTACTGCCCATCCCACTGGTCCCTCCTCCTTGGTCCTGGCTGGATCTCCCTCACCTCCCCTAGCTTTCAGATCTAACCAAAGACTTTTTCTCATCTGCTTCTAGACTTATTTGCTTTGTTATCTCATCCACTGCATGCCTTTATTTTTTTTAAGATTTTATTTATTTATTCATGAGAGACAGAGAGAGAGAGAGAGAGAGGCAGAGACACAGGCAGAGGGAGAAGCAGGCTCCATGCAGGAGCCAGATGTGGGACTCGATCCTGGACCCCAGGATCATACCCTGAGTCAAAGGCAGATGTTCAACTGCTGAGCCACCCAGGTGTCCCCACTGCATGGCTTTAAATGCCACATATAGTGCTCTCTTCGGCAGCACATGTACTAAAATTAGAACAATACAGAGGAGATTAGCATGGCCCCTGCGTAAGGATGACACGCAAATTCATGAAACACTCCATATTTTTCATTAAGGAGGGTGTACGATGAGATGAGCACTGAGTGTTATGCTATGTGTTGGCAAATTGAATTAAAATAAAATAAAATAAATGCTATTTGTATGTTGTTAACTTACATTTTGCTTCTCCAGCCCAAACTTCTCATCTAAACTCTAGGTTCATAAGTCCACCTGCTTACTTAGCCTCCGTTTGATGTCTACTAACCCTAATTTTCTCCAATCCAATTATGTTAACTTCATCCTTCTCGTTGTTCAGGACCAAACCCTAAGTTATTCTTAACTCTTGTCTTCTTTCAAAAATCCACATCAAACTATCAACAAATCTTGTTGGATATGCCTTCAAAATGTACCTTGCATCTGACTACTTCTTACTCCCTCCACTACTATCACCCTGGTCCATCGTCTCCCCCTGGGCCACTCTTCTACCCTCCTACCCCTCTCCCTGCCTCTGCTTCGAACCCCCCAGTAGGCTTTCTCCATGTCAGCAGTCAGTGTGCTCCTGTTAAAATGCAAGTCAGACCTGGTCACTACTCTATTCACAGCCCTCCAATGGCTGCCCATGTCCCTCAGAGTGAAAGTCACAGTTCTCACAGTGACCACACAATCTGCACCCACTAGCTCCTCCCACTCTGCACTGCTCTCTCTCTCCTCCAGTCACACTGGCCTTGTTCCTATAACATAGCTTGTGTGCTCCTGCCTGGCAGCCTTTGATCTGCATGTCCCAGGCTCTTCCCCAGATATCCATGTGCCATTGTCCTGAATAGTACCTTCTCCATGCACCCTTCCCTGACCATGCAATTTAAAATTATGGTTTTCCTTCCCAACTTGTTTGTCCATGTTCCCTCTCCCTGCTGCAATTTTTGCCATAGCACTCTTCAGCATCCAACATATTACTGTTACTACACATTACTCTTTGCTGTTGTTTGTCTCCCTCATTAGACACCACAGAGGCACATGGGCACCACTATTTGATGCACAAAAGAAAGTCCTTCTTGGGGCCTGGGTGTTTCAGCTGGTTGAGTGTCTGACTCTTGACTTTGGCCTCAGATCATGATCTTAGGGTCCTAGGATCAAGCCCAGCATTGGGTTCTTTTTTTTTTTTAATTAATTTATTTATTTACGATAGTCATACAGAGAGAGAGAGAGAGAGGCAGAGACACAGGCAGAGGGAGAAACAGGCTCCATGCACCGGGAGCCTGACGTGAGATTCGATCCCGGGTCTCCAAGATCGCGCCCTGGGCCAAAGGCAAGCGCCAAACCGCTGCACCACCCAGGGATCCCTCAGCATTGGGTTCTGTACTCGATGGGGAGTCTGCTTGAGATTGTCTCTCTCCCTCTTCCCCAACCCCTCCCTCATGGGTGTGTCCTCTCTCTCTCTCTCTCTCTCTCTAAAATGAATAAATTAATTTAAAAAGAAATTCCTTTATTTAAGAAGATAATAATTGAGATAAATCTATTGGAATAATTTCACCAAAAATTAAAATGCATGGCACACCCATATTTGATTTCTTGTTACCATTCTCCACCAAAAGGAACTAGAGCTTCTTGGAGAAATGGCTCATTCCAGACCCGAGGCAAGGAAAGTGCAAGCTGTGCCTGAGAATCCTGTTGTGTTTGAAAGCAAGAAAATTCTCAAGAGTTGAAAGGATTATGTCAAAAGGACAACAGAGTACACTAGAAGGAGCTCTTCCTGGTCAATACTGGGATAATTTGAGTATCAAAAACAATGACAGAAACCCTTTACAACACATTGATTTGAACAAAATCCAGAAAGCCATAAATAACTACACCCCCCACTACCAAAAGAAAGAGAAGTGTGAGAAAGAAAAACTTTTCTTAAGAATGCCAGATATTAAACATAGGGGGAATGATGGAATTAAAAATCGCCATTTAAAAAAAAATAAAATAAAATAATAAAATTAAAAATTAAAAATAGCCATTTTGCAGCCCATGCTAAAATAATTGGTAAAAGATGGTTGGGTTACACGGTGTTGACGCAGTGCCAAAATGTCCTGCAGAGATTATTTATTCCAGGCAAAGGGAAAATTTTAACTTTTCGGTGGAAAACAATAGCAGTTACCCCTTAAACCATGTAATCCAATTTTAAATTACTAATAGTGAGACATCTTCATGTTACATCTCCCTGAGGCAGTGCGATCAAAAGCTTACATTGCCATAAAGTATTCTTGACTTGTAGCTGATTGAGGGAGGCCACTGGACTTCACTTCCACTTACAGGAAATCTGCAGTATAGATGAACAAGTGAACCTCTGATGAAACACACAGACAAATATAGAACATGGTATATTCAACAAGATAAGAGCCTTGACTCTTTAAAAAAAAAAAAAAAATCCAGGGATCCCTGGGTGGCGCAGCGGTTTGGTGCCTGCCTTTGGCCCAGGGCGCGATCCTGGAGACCCGGGATCGAATCCCATGTCAGGCTCCCGGTGCATGGAGCCTGCTTCTCCCTCTGCCTGTGTCTCTGCCTCTCTCTCTCTCTGTATGACTATCGTAAATAAAAAAAATAAAAAAAATCCATTGTCATAGGAAAAAAAAAAGTAGAGGGACTATTCTAGATGTACAAAGTACAGAGATATAACAGCCAAGTAATATAATGTATGACATTATTTTGATGTTGCGTAAGAAAAAAATCTATAAAAGGTACTTTAGGAAAACTAGGGAAATTTAAATATAGAATAGGTATTAAGTGATGTTATGAAGCTGTTTTTACTTTCCTTAGTTTCTTTTGTTTTGTTTTTGGTTTGATAATGGTATTTTGGTTATTAGGAGAGTATCTTTATCCTTAGGAAATGATGCTGAGGGGCAGCCCCGGGGGGGCTCAGCAGTTTAGCGCCACCTTCAGCCAAGGGCCTGATCCTGGAAACCCGGGATCGAGTCCCACGTCAGGCTCCCTGCATGGAGCCTGCTTCTCCCTCTGCCTCTCTCTCTCTCTCTCTCTCTCTCTCATGAGTAAATAAAAATAAAATCTTTAAAAAAAAAAAAAAAAGGAAATGATGCTGAGGTACAAGAGTTAAGTGGCATGTTTGCAATTCATTTATAAATGAATCAGGAAAAAGAGCAAATAGATGTAAATACTTAAATTTACACATGCCAGTATAAATATATATACATATAATAGGTGTGTATAAATATTTAGGAAGCATTCATAAATGTGGCAAAATATTAAAAATTGTTTTATCTTGGTAAAGTGCACACAGGTATTTTTAAATTTTTCTGAATTCTGAAAATTTTTCAAAATAAAAAGCTGGGAAAAGCAAAAATGCATGTAAATTAACTTTAAAAACATACTACTCCACTAATGTTTTGTCCTTTGATAAACTGTCTTAGGAATATTTTGCTTCATATCTTGATAAATTGAATTGTAACAGAAAATAGCAGCCACTGCCAGGATCAAAAAAGTGGAACTTGCTGTCAAGTCTTGACTACATAACCTTCATGACTTTGGGCAACTCACTTTTGACTCTTGAGGCTTGGTTTTCTCATCTCATAGTGAGAATAATGTCCTGCCCTCCCACAAGACATTATCATATTATAAACAATCACAAGGCATGCCTTCAGCCCCAAGTAATATATGGTTGGATTCTTTTTTCTTCTCCTATAAAGTGAAAATAACTGCATGAAAAAGAATTGGACCTGAGGTGTTCATGAATAGCTTACCTTTTAGACCACAAAATCTACACTCAGCCACAAACACTGTTGATTCCATTTCAGTATTTCTAACACTGGCTTTATATGCTCTCTTCAAGCGCTGTAACTTTTCTTCTCTGGAAGAGGACCACAGTGTTCCATCTAGTCGACCCGGGCCTGAAAGAGAATGGAGAACATGTAGCAACTTGACGTCCTACCAGCGTGACAGTAGTATCACTAAAGGGCTTATTGGGGACCCAAGCGCTCTATGGCTACCTCTAATGCTTGGGTCTGCGCTCCTGATAGGACGATTCAGATGGCTGGGTTTATCCTATCAAGGGACCTGGGGCAAGGCTGTGCCTGGCTCAAGAGTCTCTTGTAGAGAGGAGTCTCCATGGTGTTGAGCACTCCAGCTCTGGGGCAAGTAATCCTTGAGTGGCCACAGCAGCTGGCACTGGACTGGGACAGCATAACCTCGAGGATTGCTAGGAGATCTACCCTTTGAGGAAAATCTCAGGTTGCTTTCGTGACTAGGTGATGGTTCAGGGACGGGCGCTGGTGGAGAAGCAGCAGGCAGCTTCAAGTCTCCTGAAGCTACTTGCGGATCAGGAGGGGGGGGGGTGGACATTGTAGTTCCCTATGTCCATTAGGACGGTGCTAGCTGTATACGACCAACACTCATCCACCTTCTTCCCGGCCCCACATGTCTCAGGCAGCATGCCACCCTTCTGTGATCCCTTTTTCCCTTCTAGGCTGCTCTCAGTGTTCATTTAGCACTTAATTTCACCTGTGCCAACTAGTGAAGCCAGAAGGAATTGGAAAAGCCTGATGCTATTGTGCCTCCTCCACCGTGTGTGTACTGTTCCGATTAAGGGGGGAATTGAAGCAGGGAGGCCGATACACTCTGTCACCATCCATTATTCACACAGCCTCCATCTTGGCTTCCTTTCTCCTTTTTTCCTCCCATTCCATTCCTCTTACACACTACTTCCACCCGGGCTGTCTGCTTCTCCTTGTTTCTCCCTCCTCCCTGCTGTCTGCCAACACCTCTACTACGGTGTTACTTGAGCCAATTCAAACCCTGATGTCCCAGAAGCCAAGCAGGTAACATCGATGAGGTCTGCGTGGTCTGAATGGATCAGCCTTGCCTCACGTTCAGCAAATGGATCCTGGCTCTGGGCTGGGGCTTGCCAGGGCTGCCATGCATAGATTATTTTATATTTTTTATGTTATGTTATCTCAAGAAGCCAAAAGTCTGGACTTTCATGCGAAACCTCCAGAAATGTTCAATGTTGGCAAAATAATTCACATTTAAAAAAAAATACCCGCGCACGCCGAAGAAAACATCAGCTCCAACAGGCTGCCATTTACAGGCTCTGGCTGAAACCTATCGATGACCCTCCCCACAAAGGGGCCACGGGCCTATGACAGAGTCTCCACCCTATCAGACACAACATGCCTCCTGTTTTATGACACATACATACTGACACCACTTCTACTAATCTGAAGTAACATTTACAGATAGTATAACCTGTCTCCACACATAATTTTTTAAAAATTCAATATCATACCCTAAGTTTGATCCAAGGGAAAAGAAAAGAAACATAATTTAAAATGAGATAGTTTGATGAACATACACAAACACAACACCACCACACAATTTCTAGAAGGCCCTTTAAGGAATAGTAGCAATCTTGCTTAGGTTCTTTCTTCGGGAATGAGCAAGGCCTGCCTCTGAGCATGTTTTCCCCTGGCCCCTTCTCCACCAAGTAGTAGCAAGAGCTACTACTTGGCAATCACCTTCAGTTTGTCCCTAAACCTGATTTGGGGACCCTTCATGGTTGAGAAATTAAAAAAAAAAAATTCTGAGACCACCCATCCCTTTAGATTTCTCCCTCTCCCAAATAATTAAATAATTGTCCCTGTTTCCGGGTCCCCATTCTTCCCTGGGTACCAGATCCTTTCTGAGGTACATTTGGCAAAACAAAATGGCAGAAACATAGAATCAGCATTTCCTCTTTTCCCAGAGTCACCAATTTAAGTTAAAGGCATAAACAGAGATAAGATTTTGCTAACATGGCTAATTGTATTTTAGTATTTGATTTGTTCTTGGAGGATTAAACCCACTCTCAATATAAATTCATTATGGATGTTTCTCTGCTGCTTATTATGTCCTTACAGTCCTACGCTCTAATAAGTTAAAAAGGCTGTTTCAGTTCTTTTTTTTTAATCCCCAACTATTTAACTTTCTAAAGCAGAGTTTTTAATATAAATTATGGCTTTGAATAACAAAGAGTTGCTGACAATTATCTGTCCCTCTCTCAGTTTATAACTTCTTGTCACCTTTATAAAAATCCTAGGTACACATCACATGTCTGATGGGGACTGGGAAGTGGGAATTCCCACAGCTGAGGCGCTCCTCAGCCGGTTCCTTGTCAAGCTTAGTACTTCAGGTGGTGATGTTGTCCAATGTGACCTACTCAAACTGGGGCTCCAGGAAGCAGTCGGCCGCATCTGCTGGTACACCCGACCCGGTGCAGTGCTGCAATGTGGGATTCTAAAAGTGCTTACGGAAGAATATCACTTAGAGTTTACTTTTGACATGCAATATGTAATCTATTCTGCCAACATTAATTAGTGCTCGTTGCTAATGATTCTCCCTATTTTCATCTTTTACATTATTTTCTTTTCCAAATGCAATTAAATGATCACATTCAGAACAGGCACTTACATTTGCTGTCTTTCCAGATTCACATTTACAATGTGATCAGGTTTAGATTTCAAGACAAACATGACTCTTGGACATGCAAATTAGGATCGGCCTTCAGGCTCAAATTTGAGTAAATTAGGTCAGGAATAAACCAAATGAGCCTGCCAGCAAGTAGCTTTCATAAAGTGATGTTACTGCTTGATATTTAATCTTCTCTGCAGCTCCTTGATTACTATAATTTCTGTGCATCTCTATCCTCTCTTCCTTCTGATTCTTGTCACATCATTCCCCCACCCCACCCCCACCTCATGTAAATTAGGCCTCCTGGCTGACCTTCCATTGCTGCGAAGCCTGGCTTGTTCATGGAACTCAGGAACTCAAGACTTAGGGACTTGAGAAACCGTTTTATGCCAACTCTTACTCTCCCCGCCTGGAATGCTCTCTTGTCCTCCCCCATAGTCTTTCATCAGACTACCTCCAACTCATTCTTCAGGTGTGCAAGTAAGTCACTTCTTTCAAAACATCTGCATCCATGGAGGGGGAAAAATGATGGGGGAAGATGGGGGGAAAATGGGGGAAATGGAGGAAAAATTATCCATGTTGAGGCAACATGGATAGGTTATGTTATATTTCCCCAGCCTGGCTTTGGATCTAATTTTTGATCCATTCTGATTTCTGTTTAGAGCCTGGATAAGGGGCCATATACCAATAGTGCCCTAGACTCTCTGTGTCTTAACATTTATCATCCTTAGTAATCACTCATTGTCTGTCTATTGCCCGGATAACATGTGAGCTCTATAAAGATAAGAGCAATGTCTGTTTACCGTTGTCCCTGCAAGCCTAGCATTTTGCCTATTACATTATAGGTACTCAATAAAAATTTGTTGGATGAGTGAATGCTTCCATAGAGATGCCATAGAGCAGAGATCTGCAAACTACAATCCATGGGCCAAATTCAATTCTGTCTTTATAAATAAAGTTTTATTGCAACATAGCCACATTTATTCATTTACATATACATTACCTCTGGTTGCTTACACACTACAATGGGAGAGTTGAGATGTTGCAACAGAAATCGTACGATCTGCAAAGCCTAAAATAATTACTATTTGGCCCTTTACAGAAGCTTATCTCACCGTGCCACAGAGCACAGCCATAACCTTCTGGGTTTTTATGAATTCCAAAATTGATCAACATGGGATTAATTTAGAAGGTGCAGGGAGAGACCCACAGTGGGCTCCGGTGAAAGAGCCTTGGTGGGTCAGACACTTTTAAAATAAGTAAAACAAATAAGTAAAACAAAAGGCTCCTTGAATTATAAATAATATCCTAGAAACAGGAAAGTGATTGAGAAGGAATTTGAAAATGTGGGCATCAAAAGTGATATTATCTTATAAAAAATAAAAAAGGGAGGAGATGCCTGGGTTGCTCAGTCATTGAGTGTCTGCCTTTGGCTCAGCTCGTGATCCCGGAATCCCAGGATTGAGTCCTGCATCGGGCTCCCACAGCGAGCCTGCTTCTCCCTGTGCCTGTGTCTCTGCTTCTTTCTGTGTCTCTCACGAATAAATAAAATCTTTTTTTTAAAAAAGTGATTTTATTCACATGCCATCCTAAAATTTAGATATGTTAGAACATTTACGTCTTGGTCAGAGTCACTCAAAGGTCAAAGTACCATTTAATTGGGTATTTAATCCTCATCAAGTTTCGCTGGCTCATCTCAGGAGTGGGAACATCAGCAAAGGAATGAGTTTTACCTCCTTCATCTCTGAATGCAGTGCTGCTTAAAACAAAACAAACATTTGCATCCTATCAATAGGTAAAGTGTTCTTAATGAGGATAAAACTTCGAAATGAAAGTATACACAACAGCACAATGGTTTCATTTCCCACCATTCACAGACGTTCATTGTGATACTGGTACTGCCTGTGGACCGGATGTGTCATGTTACAGAATTAAAGAACTAGAATCCATGACCATGAGCTGAGTGGTCAGCAGAGTGCCTTGCTCATGCTGGACACTTGCTCATATCAAGTGGCAGCCACAGCGGCAAGGATGGTACATTGCATGGGCGTGGGCTATGCAAGATCCTTGTATCTCACAACCGCAAATTGTAAGCAATCTTAATAACAATATTACCCATTTCATCTCCAAATGCACTGTTACATAATACTGGTTATTTGGAGTAACATTGGATGAACAACAGTCCGGAAGGGTGCCTGATTTAACAGTGATTGCTAACATTGTTCTTCTCTTTCTGAATGGCCATCCACAGATGTTCTCTATCCCACCTGTGGGGGCCATGGCTTGACTGCCCTGTACCACAGCAGTGGAAAGGGCATAATCTTTGTGAACATGTCTGTTTCTGGTGAAGCATGGCTTAGCCACCTGTGGCTCTGTGCCACTGGACAAATCACTTCTCTAGGTCTTTGTCTGAAGTTTTCTAAGGTCCAAACTTACTCCAGAATTACTGTGTAATTCTGAGAGCAGAGTCACAGGCTTTCTGACAATTCCCATGCAATCCAGTCACTCTGTCAACCAAACCTTCTGTCAACCGGATCTTCTCATTTAGGATGTCCTGTCTATATTTGAATTTGGTGACATAGTAAAATCGCCTCCTCACACGGTCTACTCCTGGAGAAAAGATTGGAAAATAAGGAGATTTCCTCAGAACTTGGTGTCAACCCAGGATGGAAGCAGAGGCACAGCCCCTGACCAGCTGAGGAAGAAGGAAGGGAGGAGGAGGGGCCCTGGCCAAACCTTAGGAAACCTCACCTGGCCCTTCCCCAAAAGTCCAGCCTGATCTCTTCTGGTGTGTTGATGAGGAAAAAAGCCAGTCAGGAAAAGGGCTGTAGTCACTGACATGAGCTAAAACAACGTTTTCCTAAAAGCTCTGAAATCTGCTTCCTTAGCTGACAAACAAGGCAAATCTTAGCGATTAATTTTTCCTTCAAAGCACTTATTTCTGTCACTTACAAAATTCCTCAGCCTCAACATTTACTCATACTTATCTCCAAAACTTATACTTATCCTCATGCATATTCACTAGCAATTCTTTCAGCCTCCCCCGTAAGACTACCTAAATCCATCTGGGCAAGACGCAGTGTGATCTCTCACACCAGGTTTCCATGGAGGAAAAAAAAAAGGAGGAAGACAAAAAGGAAATATTCCACTAGATTTAGTTTTCTTTAATTTAAATTTCTTTAAATTTCCTCAGGCCCAGCCTCCTGACACTCTCTAGCCCATCTGGGTGTCTGCTGGGCCCGGAGCATGCTGCTGTACTTTGGCAGCTCCCTGTCTGGAGCAGTCACTTGGATTTAATGATAGAAATCAGCCCGTCTCACCTATTCTCCTCCATGTACCGATTCTGATAGCGGTAACTTCACAGCACCAGGCCTGGTGCTCTAATTGGATGAGCTCGTGGAGCATAAGCACGCTGGAAGTGGAGGGACTGCCAGGGCCATGCTGTCGAGAGAAAAGAGAAAGTCATTATACATCCTGCAAACTGGTACATGAACAGGACATATTTTCTTCCTTCATTACAAGTTAGCAGCCCTCAGATAAATTTACATGATCATTATGACTTTGCCAAAGCTGAGGAAAACGTAAGTCAGCTCTAACTGACGCCTACCTGACATGCTGATAGATGTGTCCATCTGTGACGACCAGACAGAGCCGTGTCCCCGCCCGTTCCACGGAGCTCGCTCATTGTCAAGAGCGGAAGACGGGGACGGCGAGGCGTCCTGGGGTCGGGGCTCGGCCATTTCTCCTCCCCCTGCTGGCCTCTTCGCGGTGAGCCTTTGGAAAAGAGCCTTTCGCAAGATTGACTTGATTCCGAGGAAATATAAATTTGGCTGTCGTGTCATTTGTCCTCTTCCACGTACTAAATGGAATAGTAAATCCGCTTCGTTGTGCTCATGCGTTTGCTGCTAACTCAGCGTGGGCTGAGGGAGGGTAGAGGAGTGGCCTACACCCACACCTGGGCCTTCAGGGCACAGTGAGCCTATGTCGCCATACTTCATGACCACAGCCCGTATTTTCCTCAGCATTTGCCACAATAAAATCAATGTCACCAGAATAGGGGTCCCCAAAGGTAAGAGGATTTAGTGACTCCTGGTGGTTACAGTATGTTCTAATAACTCTCCAGAAAGATCCTCTGTGCTGGAATTGGTAGCAGCTGGAGCTGAGTTTTGAATCGGTGGCTATTTCGTGCCTAACATAACAATCGAGAGTCAAACGTGTTCTTCAGGGTGTTCTCCTCTTGGGTACAAAGACTGTGTGTGTGGAAAAGCACCAGAAGCATCTTGGCAATGAGGTGATACCTGCCACTAATTCTTTCATTAACGTATCTGGAAAACTATTGCAACCTGACCATCATGTGCTCAGCTGAGTTCCCCCTCTCTTGCCATCAAGAGTATTAAACTATGGAAAGTTTGAACCCCTAGGTTGTCATTTTTGGTTCCCACTGAACAGGTCCTGGCTTCCAAATGCATTGTAAGCCTCCTGGAGACATGAATCAAACCTGTATTAATTTGCATGTCCAAGATTAACAAGCCTGGGCTTTGGCACTGGCTCTGCCACTAATGGGTAGATTCTCTAAATCTCATTATCCTCAACTATAAATTAAGAGAATGAACTATTATTTGATCTATTAGGTTCTTTCTAAATCAGATATTTGATAGGTTTATGATTATCACTTATTATGCAACATGATGATAAAATGACAAATGGGCTAATGTATTCCTGCTAAAGTCTCTCTCTCTCTCTCTCTCACACACACACACACACACACACACACACACACACACACACACCCTCAGCAGCTGTTGGAGAGAAGGAATTTTTAAAGTAGGGGTCCCCATTGGAAATCCTCTGTCTGCCCAGTGGAGGCTGCTTTTAATGGGCTGAGCCCTGGCCATGACACACGTTTCAGGTCTTTTTCCCAGACAGGACAGCAGATCAGTCCAGTGCTGTTTTTATTTCTTACTCGGAAGCTTTACTGCTTGTCTATGATAGTTTCACATTTATATAAATGTCACTTTATTGTTCTTACCCATTTACTGTGCATAAACAGTCGTAGTCTAAAAGTCAAGCAAAAACAGGTTTAGTAAAACAAAACCTACCGAGATCAGAGAATATTCAGTTTCCTTCTAAGGCAGACGTTCTGTAATAGTTGAATGAGCAAATGGTTAAATGAATGGATTTTTCCATCTGAGCCCCAAAAGCAGGTGTGAGGTCTTCCTGGCCCAGAGGGGAGCCCACCTCCGCTGCCCAAGCCTCCCGCCCCAGTCACCATCGGTTCATCACAGGTGCCATCAGGTGCTTGACAGATGAGGGCTCTCCCCCCAGTGCAGGGCCTGCATGGCACCAGCTCCTCAGAAGTGTCACACCTCTGCATGGACACCCCTCCCCCTGGCCTGGGCCCCTTGGGAGGGCTCCCACGTCCAGACACACGACAACATGGAGCTATTGTTTCAGAATACAACATTCCCAGAGCTGGATAAGGGGGAGAAGAGAGAAAATTGCTGGTGGCTTCATCAGTAATAAACTAAAGAGAGGAGGTGTGCTTTGAGGGGTTTGTCCCCCCTAACTTGAATAGCTAAGTGGTAGCTAACAAACTCAACTAAAGTGACCCCAAAGCCATGTCCTGCCCCTAGGACTTCTTCCAACAATGAATGCCACAGCTGGGATCTTAATTTGCATGTGTGAAAACACAAAGCAGGCGAGGAGAAAGAACTCTGTGTTCAAGATTTTGCACCTTTTTCTGCTATCCTGTGAGGACTACAGAGGGCAGTGACTGAGGACCTAGGCCGGGGGAGGACACAGCACCGGTTCTGGGCACGCAGCATCTGTCCATTCCAGCTCAGACGTCCTTTAGGTCCTCTCCACCTTCCTCCAATCCCAGCCTCTTGAGCATAAACGCTGCAAACTCTTTCATTGTGTCCAGGCTCCCACCAACACAGACAAACTGAATAAAAATAAACACCTTCACCTTATAAGTGATATAAGCACCAAGGGTCAGCTTTCAACTTTAATGTTTTTATTTTATTTTTTCAGTAATTTCCTTGTGGGTGCCCAGAGATGCTAGGGGTCATGTTCATGAGTTAGCTAACTTGCGTCACTGACCTGTAAATAAGGCAACCAGACTCCAAGTTTGATGTACTTAATCAGTAAAGAAAAAGATAATCACCAAATCAAAGTAAGTGTTGATTTTGCTCAGGTAGGTGTTTCCTGGTGATTTTGTTTACAGTGAACACCAGCCAGCATCTTGAGTTGCTACAGACAGCTCATTTGGGGGCATTAGCAGGCCATATGCTTACCATGGATGTGGAATATAAGTAACATGAGGGGGAAAAAAAAGAGCAGTGAGTTTTAGATGTGTCTTCTCATTCCACAGTCCCCAACATAAGTCTTTATTGTAAAATGTGCTATGTTAGCTTAAATCTTTAAAGAAATCACATCAAGAGTTTCCAACTTCTCCTTCAGAAGAAATTCTCGTAAAATAAGCTTATCGTTGTAGACTGGAAATCTCACTATGATATTTCATCAATTCCAATGATTTGTTTTTGTCTTGGTTTTATTCACATTTTAATGTCTCTGAAATTATCATAGGTGCTGTAGTCAAGGGTGTCGAATCTAATAAACATGTGGTGATAAAACTGTCTGGTGGTTGCATGTGCAGTGGCCTATTGGGGTGCAGCCCGCCTTGGGGATGGGTGAGGCGGAGGCCAGAGGGAGGGGGGTAGCAGCCTAACAGTACGGGCGGCCGGGCCAGCAGTGGAGTAGACGAGCAGTAGCAGATGTCAGAGACCCCGGGAAGTAGCCCATACAAGGGCACCAGAAGCGAAGCCCCTTGAAAATCTGAGCTAGGCAGTGAGGAGCACAGAGTCTAAAGAAGGTCCAAGTCAGAGGGGGAAGGCAACGGATGTAGTGTTTCAGGGCCTGCCCTCTGAGGTTAGATAATCCTGGCTTTGCACCCCAACCCTATCGCTGATTAGTGACTTGCTTAGTGTTACGTACATAATCTCCATGTGCCTCAGATCATTGTCACCAAGATAGAAAAACGCAGAACCCTTTGGGGGGTTTTGGTAAGGATAAAATGGGATCCAATATGGCAGAGGACATTGCACAAAGCCAGGTAACTTCTAAGTGTCCAACAAATGGCAACTACTAGTTTTCACATCATGTAGCAATTTCCTGGCCTTGCTTTTGAGCTTGCTTATTGTTGCTGTATTTGTAGAATTTAGTACAAATGAAACTGGTTGGAATCCAGTAAGGAAAAGGCAGTTGGTGGCGCCTAACCAGTGTGGGCAGCATTAGGCACAGGATCAGAAGGACTGCTGGTGAGCTTCCTCCCAGCGATGAAGACTATCTGTCCAAGGAAACACCTAACTGAGGTTACAGCTTAGGTCCCCTCATTCACAAACGATTTACTAGGACTATTGGGTGGTCTGATTATATGATGCATTCTGTTTCCATTTAACAATAATTCCTGTTCCACATTCATTTTCAACTATAGGATATAATTATCCTTTTATCCAAGGCCTCTGCTAGTCTTCTACCCTCATTATTGTCTTTTCAGTGCCCTGTTACGGGTTTCTCTGATGGGCCTAAGGTTGATAATGAACTGCAATGAAAGTTAGCCATAAAGGCTGGGTAGCAAAGTGGGTAAGATTGTGGTTTAAGGTGAGTCTTAAGTTATTATTCATAACTCATGACATTTTTCCTTCTGTTGGTATGGAGAGTTAGGACTCGGCTCAACATCTAAGTACAAAGAGGTCATTTTTGTTGTTTTCTTTTTACAAAATACAGTAGTTTGAAAATAACCTCATTATGTGGTGCCAGTGAATATAAATTACAACTCTTCAGATTGACCATATAATCAAAACAGATGTTAGAATAGCTTGTGGTTTGAAATCTTCTTTGAACTATAGATACTGCTGTAATCAACAGGAATTTCTGAATATTTCTGGAGACACAAAGATAATATGTACAGACAGAAACATTTTCCTTCTTGAGGACTTATTCCTAACTCAGACTTACTAAATATCACCTCTAGACACAATTTTCAGTCTGCCTGCTTAAAGAGAAGTAAAATATGGCTGAAGACCACCAATCAACATTGACCTTAAGTGGCACCTTCTGTGATTTATGTCCTGAGCAAAATTATCATTTTTCCTGGTTTTATCAAAGAGGAAATAAATCGGGAAGGAGTCCCCCTGAAGAATTACAAAAATATGTTATGGACTTTGAGTAATGACTACCAGAAGGAACTCACTTTCAAATATACCCAGTGTCTTTTTTTTTTTTTTTTTAAGATTTTATTTATTTGACAGAGAGAATGAGTGTACAAGCAGAGGGAGTGGCAGGCAGAGGGAGAGGAAGAAGGGAGTGGCAGGCTCCCCACTGAGCAAGAAGTCCCACATGGGGCTCCATCTCAGGACCCAGGGATCATGACCTGAGGACCTAAGCTGAAGGCAGACAACCAACTGAGCCACCCAGGCGCCCCTACTCAGTGTCTTAAAGGACTTAACTTTGCCATGTTGTCCATGTTGCATTAATCTGGTCCTATTTCTAGTCAGTTTGATAAAAACTGATTAAGCTATTCACCACAGCTATCTCCCTTCTTTCCAGGCACACAGCTCAATTCAACTTCTCAGTCTCCTTTCCAGTTGGATGAAGCCATATGCCTGAATTCCAGCAACTAGAATGTGAACAAATTTGATGAGTACCACTTCCATCCTAGCCTATAGAAATCTCCCACTGGTGCTCTAATAGATTGACTTCTTCTGTCTGCTGAATGAGTATTGACACCCAGGGAAACTTCCTAAGCCTCTCCTTGAAGGTGACAGAACAACCAGATGGAAGGAGCCTAGGTCCCTGAATCACTAGTTGGGGGAAAGCCACCAGGAACATTTACTTTTTATCTATGAGAGCGAGAAATAAATTTACATTGTGTTAAGCAAGTAATATTTTTCAGCAGCAGCTAGCAACCCCTTTTAAAATCTAGTAAGCAAGGAAATGAAGGACATAAGAATGTTTATTAGAAACTTTGAGGTTTAAATTCTACAAACCCAGAGTTCTCCTTTCCTTTGTAGATAATACTATTAATAATGATTATCATCTCTATGAAGACAAGGCTGAATTTTCAGGTACTGATGCATTTTATCCTCTCTTCTTAGCTAGAAGAAGATTTAAGGAATTCAAGGGAGTGGAGATTGAACCTGGCATGTTCTCTTTCAAAGATAAAAATGTGGCCAGAAGAAGGCAAGTTTCTGAGAAAACCTTCTGTGTGTGTAAAACAGACTTTACCTGCTACCTCTAAAGAATCCTGCTAGAGGTTAAACAGCCAATTCTGATCATACTGGACTATACTTCCCCAAGCCACACCACACACACACACACACACACACACACTTTTTGCCTCCTAGCCATCAAAATGGCCCAGTCAATAAGAGTTGTTCTCTGGTGGGACCATACAGCATGTTTTCATTTCTGTTTCGTCCAAAAGACAATCTACAGAAAAGGTCCATCCATAACCAAGTAGATGTAAGTTTATAAGGTTGGATAGTGGTTATGACAAAGTGTAAGAATAAGTGCTAATGAAAATCTATTTGGGTAGAAAGGTAAAGGCCTGATTCCTGGAATTGTAGCAAAGATGAGACAACTGTGTGTGTGTGTTGGGGGAGGGGGTGAGTCTCATAATTTTCATGTCTAAAATAAAGCTTTCCATCCCAATGGTTTCCCAGAAACTACCTTTAGAATATCAAAGTAGAGTACTTTCTTTTTTCAAATAGAGAAAGAGCCATGACCTTTTTCATCAGAGAAACTTAAGGTTTAATCCCAGCTTTTTTATTTACCAGTTGTGTTGAGCCTATCACAGATGCCCTTGGAGAGATGGGAGGAGAGGAAGCAATTTAGCACCAATATTAATGAACATCACAGATTTATTTCTTCTCTCCCTCCCCCCTCCTTCTTTCCCTCCCTTTCTTCCTTCATCTTTTCTTCTCCTTCTATTTCTTCCTCTAGCTAACCTCTTCCTTTTCTTCAATACCCCTTCCCATTTAATGGACTGTTCTCAGTTACTATGACTCAGAGTATACCCAGTAGAGTGGGTAAGAAGTCTGGAAATGGGACTTAGAGGATCTTGGTCCCAGCCC